GTGCAGCTTGTTTGAGCCCCACCATGATATTGCCTTCTCGTACATTTTTCTTTAGAAGTATCTAACGAAATGTTCATATTTTCATGTTTTGTCTTTTCAAGGATAAGAATAATTTGGTTACAGATCTCAAGTAGAGGATATTCATAGCTACAGGGGCACACGGTGCTACATGCCGCCCCCCCCCCCCCCCCCATCGAAAGGAAAGCAAAATAGAAGACAAAAAGAGGATAAGGTGACATAATTATATAGGGAGAGCAAGGGGAAAAGGGGCGAGAAAAGAAGACGATGGATGGGACCCCTCCCCTATAATACCAGCGGCATTGTAAATTCGTATTTCAACTGTTATTGTTAGTAAAACCTGCCCCCGTCTCCGATAGCAGAGCCATCTCAAAGGCTAAACACATGCTACGCATCTGCCAACTTGTGGGATCACGAAGAAACACTTGTTATTAATTTCTTTAAAAGGCCTCGTGCTTAGTAATCCAAAATATGATAATGCTTTTCTTTTGTTCTGTAATTTGCAGAAAAGAAATCGTATCTTTCCAGAGGTGTTATCAGAATATCACATTAAGTTTCAAAATAAGAGATTACGAAAACGTTTTAATTCAACCGTCTGTATTTTGTTCATTCCAGCTTTCAGACATAAATAGGGTAATAGAATACATGGACATTCAAATAGGCCTAAGATATTGGTACATTGTGTACTTTAAATAGCTGCAATCTATGCCAACTACATAGTGCATTTCCAGGCAAACTTTTATACAAAATATTGTTTGCACTTTGCAAAGAGATCGTAATATTACCCTCACGGAAATCGGTACAGGTACAAAATAGATCAGGGTTAAAATAAAGAAATATTCACCGAAAAGGGGAATATATCAGATCATGTATCAATCTTACTGTGAAATGTAATAACCACACGATCTGCGAATTACCGCAATAGCAGATCGGATTTGGGCGCTTTAAAATCCGCAACTTTTCCTGAATGTTGTTTTAAAAGTGCTGCTCACACTATTTATTTCTTTTTTTTAGATAAAAAAGGTGTCATTTGGGGACTAGAGTATCATCACTTTTACTAGTATCTTTAACAACGTTACGTTAGCCTTACTTTCGTTGACGTTACTTTTGAAGACGTTTTGGTTATGAAGTCAGCATCGAGTGATGAGCGTGAGGAGTCACTTCTTGAGAATTGGGATACAAATTCTATCAAAAAGGTCAGTTATTCTGTTTATTGTGTTTAACATTCATGACCGTTTTGATTTATCTGTTTATATTTGTTTCTTCACAACCATTATTGATCACATGCGACCTACTGAATTTAATGTTTTGTTATGATTTTGTTTTTGATTTACTAATTTCTTTAAGGTATTGATGTTATGTATTCATTGATATAAGATTTTTAGTAAGTGTATAATGATTTGGGGATACTGGATGGAAGACATTCCCAGAAGGCTTTAACTGCCGTATGACCAGACGACCGAAATCCAGGGTATTCTTCTAGAGCTCCTTAGGCATCACCTCAAATTTTCCTGGAAATTTGCAGAGATTTACACGATTTACAACGATTCCACACACTTTCCTATCATTGCCTGTAAGTCCAAGAATATAAGCATGGTAAGGTGACAAAGACAGAGAGATAGAAAGAGTGGAAATGGAGATAGAGAGAGAGAGAGAGAGAGAGAGAGAGAGAGAGCGGGAGAGAATGAGAGAGAGAGAAAGAGAGGGGAGAGAGAGAGAGAGAGGGGAGAGAGAGAGAGAGAGAGAGGGAGGGAGACAGAGAGAGAGAGGGAGAGAGAGAGAGGGGGGAAGAGAGAGAGAGAGAGAGAGAGAGAGAGAAAAGACAAAATAGTTATTAAATACTTCTAGACTTTTCTTGGTAATGATAATTTTTCATTGAATAACTTCAAAGAGAATATAGGTTTATTTCTTTAATAACTTGATCTTTAGCTAACGCACTTACCAAACATAATTCACGACCCTTGGAACTTTCTCTTTATTCAGATTATCATTACTATGTAGCACTGTTGTTTGATTTTGCGTCTTATCATTTAGATGTTGAAAAATACTATTCAAATATCGGATTTGATTTAATTTAATACTATATACCTAGCATTGTCAGAAACCTATTATATACACCTGGGCCCTGTCTTATAAAGAGTTAATATCTATTTACGATTGATATCAATCGCAACTATGTACATAAGAGATAGTAGACTGCAAACTTGCGATTGATTGGAGGACTTGCGATCGATTTGGTTTTGTTTTGATTGGGTTTTAAGGTAATTCAGTACCAATCGACTATTTATGCCCTTTATGCCTAAGATCATCTTCAACTCGCCGTGCGTAATGACGAAGAACTCAACAAGCAACTCGTTTTAAGGCGGGGCCCTGGATGGCGAGAATCTAACCTTGTTTAAAGATGTCAGCACCGAGCACGGATTGATCTGGATCTCGTGTATGAGACTGAGCATTTACCAATAAACTACATTATACCCCAGTAGAAAATGAACAGTGCTTAACCAACTCTCATCCTATAGTCTTTAATATTGGTAACCATGGTTACACATCCCTTCAAATTCCTCTGGCTATATTCGCAAACCAGGAAAGTACACAGAGATTACGTTACATTTTATCTTGATCATCTAAAGATTATAATTTATTTAAGGAATCTTCTGTCATCTCCTTCAGAGGGATTGAAAATGGAAAAGGATACAGATATGAATTGGGGGTTTACACTCTTCCTCAAAAAACGGTTCACTAACTATACACAAATTGAAAGTGCTCTTGTCTATAGCCTGTTACTTTCTATCGATCTTTTAGTCTACTATTGTAGCTCTACCTCTCTCTCTCTCTCTCTCTCTCTCTCTCTCTCTCTCTCGCTCCCCTTTTTTTTCTACTTAAACCTAATTATACTTAAACATATTGTTAACAAAACTGGTTTCAGCACTTTATCTCATTATATTGAATATGATTATTCATCAATTGATTCACTTATCCATGATGTCTACATTTTATTCACTTGTTTTTATTCATCTATTTATTTCATGCTATTCATTGGATTCCATATATATATATATATATTAATTCATTCAAATTTATTTATTCATTCATATATTAATTTCTATATTTATTTATTTATATATTTATGTGTTCATTTATCAAGTTATTTATTGAACGAATTATAACCGTTTCAAATTGGAAGTGAAGCCTATGTGTTCATTTATCAAGTTATTTATTGAACGAATTATAACCGTTTCAAATTGGAAGTGAAGCCTATAACTATGTTAATGTTTCAAGAACATTTTCTAATTTTCTTTTTTTACTTTTATTTGCAAAGCTAGTTGTTTTATTTAAAAACAGAGGATGGGCTAGTGTAATTCTAAAATGCTTCTAAATATATTTTCAATAGTCATGACTCTTGAGTGATCTTTAGTTATTTCATGATTTGAATTTTGGAAGAGAGCCCAATAAGAATTCAGTATGTGCTTTACGTCATTATGACGCACGTCACATTCGATCACATGAGCTTTTCCCTTCCTTGGTCATGCATGCGTTGTCGAATGTTAGAGATTTTCTCAAAGTCAAAGGAGCACATGAGTTATATATGTTCATATAATTATGTACGAACTTTTATCAGCACTACCTTGTGCTCCGTAATACTCGAATACAATTCTTGGCTTTGTATCATTTTTGAGAATGTAGAAAAAAAGCTGAACAACAAGACAAACTTAAATCTCATTAAACAAAATTTAAATTTAATTATTGCTTTGTCGATAATCTTCCTGCTTTTAATACGCAATGCCTCTACACATCATTGAACTAATTTCATTAATGACCTACGTCAAACCAACCCCCCGAAACACTACAACAACAAACAAAAAATTAAACAAAACTAAATTAGTATGATCAAATTATAATGGAGTTAAAACGTTGACTAGTGTGCTTCACAATAATCTTAAATATTTGTAGATACAAGTATTATGGAGTCACACATAGAAACATGATTACTATCGAACAATTGATAAATATGAATGGCCAAAACCTTGCCAATATTATAAGTATCCATAAGCATAAACATCTTCTTAACGACATAATTCATATTGCGTTAATTAGATTTTGTAATTTTCCCCATTGCCAAAACCCAGTAAACTGCAGACTGTATACGTTAATTGGACTACCGAAGATTGTGTTTTAATTTATGCACGTGAATCTTTCGACGGGTCAGTTTCGCTTCATTCTCCGGCCCCGAATATTACACCTCGTCGGCGTATTAATATTTAAGATAAGTCAAAGTTTCACGCCCGTGTAAAATCTCTAATGGAAACTCAGAACAAAAACAAAGAGAGAGACTTGATTTTATTTGAGCTTTTTCATGCAGTCACGTGTGCTTGGGACACTCATAATTTGAAGAATGAAAACTCTTAAGTCAGTTGAAGCTCTCGTGCGTCATTACCTTGTAAAATGGTTGTCTTCATCAGCTTCTTCCCCTTCACTATTTACTGCAAACTTCCTGTCAGATAGCTCCGTTCCCCTTTTAAGGACACGTTTCCACTTTCGCCACTTTATTCCAAAAAGCTCTAACATTACGCGCGCCCGATTTGCGACCGTCATGACAAGTTTAATGATATTCCCCATGTCCAGATAAAATGATATGGAAGTGGGAATGATTGTTTCTGTATCATAGGTATAGATCGTGCCAAACTGTTTCATCCCCCGGTCTGTGTACACTTCTAGCATTTAAATGACAGATATATTTTATTTTTTCTTTAATTTTATATAACCGCTTCAGTCACGTGGTCTCTAGGAAAGTTTGGAAAATGTGCCGGATATAAGTAATACAAGTCACTCTAAGAGCCATAATAAGTCAAAGTCTTACTCGTATGTTGTCCATGCAAACGTCCCCCGCTCTCAGTGTCCCCCTTTGCCAAACTTGCTCGCTTTACCTCAGACCTATATATCAGCTTAGCAACTACCGGGCGAACCCCCTTTTTAGTAAAGACCTCCCCACAGTCGGCAGGCCTCTGTAAGGACGGATCAGCAGACGACAAGAAATGCCCAGGAAATTCGTCCAAGGATTCCAATTTCGTTCACCGTGAGCTGGTGTTAAGCCATATTATTATTAGGTAACGGCTTGAGTTAAGTGAAAAGCTTGGATTGCGCATGGCTCTTCAAGGTTTAATATAACCATATTAAGGTAACTTTAACAAGACGATTCTCGTGATCAGCTGACTGGATTACAGGTGATTTTTGAGATTAATAAAGGATAAGATTCGGATACCGCTATCATGCCGAGAAGGGAAGACACCATAGATCTGGTAAGTAAATATAATCCTTGCAAAAATAAAGTAAACAAACATCATAAATTATTTTTGTTAATCTTGTAAGTACCATAATGATCATCACCATTTATCCACAGTTCCTCAGCCATTTAGAAAAGAGCGAATGTGCTATCAGGGAACAAAATGTTTTTATATTTGTTTTCTGAAATATTGACAACTGTGATAGGTCGATCGAATTAAGGCACAGGGATGATGCTCTGATGAAATGGCATAGTATACATCTCATATTCTCATTTAGGTTTTATTTGATGATGAAATGTTTATTTTGCATAGTATAATGTTCTATCGCGATGTGTGTTGGCAAAAGAATAATAAATTTTAAAATGCATGTAAGAAAATAAACATGAAAACAATAATAACATACAATAATGATTAACTGTTTTTAGTAAATATTATAATGCATTATACAATCACGTCTGTATTGTCTACAGGTGTGTGAAGGAATTTCAGTTCTTACCGCGTTCCCTTATCGTTGTGATATCTATTTGGAATAACAGGCTATTAAAGCTTCCGTGATGTGTAACACGTTTAATTGAAAGCGGCGTTAATGACCTATCCTCAATAAGGCGTTTCCGATGTACACCCTCCCGCTTTGCATATTGGGGGAAAACAACATATTCGGGGAAAACAATAAACACCTTTTTTACAATTCTTTTGTGTTGAGTTTACTCTAAAATTCATATTTATATTCAACAGAATTATTCATATTGCTTCAAAAAAATTGCTGAAATGTTTCCAAATTACCTGGGAATTAAGTGCCTTGGGGAAGCATCCATACACCCCCTATCGCAGCCTAGGAGGGTACTTCGAGCTGAAAGCACAAAAATAAATTTAGGAACTTTTTATGACATTAGTGTGTCCGATAGAGAAATATATTACACTTCATTTGGTAAGGATTCTATTTTTCTTTTAAATCTCTGCGCACTTGGTTTAAGAACCCTGGATCTTCTACTGATATAATTCGCCCCTCCATCCATCCCCACCCCCCCCCCCCAATCGATTTCTGGATAAATCTCTGTATAAGGACTATACCTAAATGAACATAAGCCGTGATATCATGATGTTTCTTATCGGCTCCTAAAACAATAATGAACCTCCATCTCCTGTTGATCCCCCGATGTCGCGAGTCTTTCCACACCGTTGTTAAAATTCTATCTTTATCTTCTCCTTCAACCATTTATACTCCTGACGTATTTCCTATCTCCCCTACTCCTTTCAAATTGAGATTTCCGACGTATTAGACGCAACAGGGCATAACCTGATAGCTTTGTCCCAATTGGCTGTCTGCTCGCAAAGGATGATGGGAAGGGCTTTGCTTTAAAGGTATAGCTTCAGACATGAAGCATCAGACATTAATCTGATTGACCTTTACCAATAGAGTCCACTTTAACAGAAAGCCCCATTGCAGAAGCAATTATGGACTGGTTGACCCAGCAGTATATATTTTACTGGAAACCGGAATATATTAGAATCAAACATGTCTTGTGTCTTTTTCCTTTTTTGCCTTGAATGGAAGTTGGAGGCCTAAATATGGTTCTGCAAAGTGACTTCATAGGTGTATGTCCTCTCATAACAATTTCAAATAAAAGTGGGGCAATGAGCTAGAAAAGGCCCTTAACTACTGGGATATCACATACAGATATTGAACAGTTGAGTATAGGAAAGATTGTGTTCAAACTTGAAATTATAGTTTGACGGTAGAATATTCTGATGTGATTTTATATAATCTTACATAATTCTATATATATCATATACTTATGATATATGATATTATAATACTGTGTTAGTTGATACTCTCGGTCACTGGAAATTCTATTGTTAATCTTTCGTAAGTGAATAAATATCTTCTAAGAAATATCTCGCATGATAATCATTTACATAAATTTCATCTTCACTAAAGGGCGGTAAAAATGGGCAAACCTCAGAAAACATTGCTGCATCTGATAAGAAACAGAAATAAACATATGATACCACCATGACCAACTCCCTGTAGATCATAAACGCCTAAAAAAAAAAAACAACGCCTACGTCACTCAACAAAAAAGGGGGAAATCCCCTTTTATACTATAACGTCATGACACGGTTAAGAGTGAATTATGGGAAGGCGACAAACACGGCAGGAAGATCAGATAATGCCATGATGAATTATTTCCTTGAAGAGATGTTTTATTGATTTAGTTGTTTGATTGTTTGTTTGTTCTCTGTCTTGTTTTAGAAGATAATGTCGATGGATATTACGGTGCCTCAATGTTGCGTATATTAGTGTAATTAATATGTTGCTACAAGTTATTACTTGCTATACTACTGTTGTTATACTACTACAACTACTACTACAACTACTACTACAACTACTACAACTACTACTACTACTTCTACTGCTACTACCACCACTACTACTACTACTACTACTACTACGACGACGACGACGACGACGACTACTACTACTATACTACTTTCTATCTTTATTGCATCTATCTTCCTTCATACACTATGATCTTTATTGCATTCCTCCTTCACAGCAAACAAAGTTAATAATGATGATGATGGTCATAATAATGATAATTATTTATTTAAAAAAATATGCTATACTTATATCACAGAGGTGTCACTATACAATGTCACTATACAATGTACAGTCATGTACATAGAACATGCACAAGTCCACACAATATTATTTATAGATCTGTCCTGATGGCAGATATTTGACCTTATACAAGAAATTAAGTGATTAAAATCACGGCTTATGAGGGTTTTTAATCTTATCTTAAATATGCCTCATATATAATTAGCAACGGTCACAAGTACATTACTATAGCTTTAGTCCTACGTGTCATTTAGCAACGAGGCTGTTTTTCCAGGCCAATCATTATTACTACTCAAGGTTGATTAAAAATAGTGTCCTTGATGTTCATATTTTGTCACTCTTTGGTTTTTGAATTTTCCAGAAAAGGATTACAGTTTGATTCATTATTGCTTAATTACAGGTTGTAATGTCCTGGAATGTTATTTTCATTGTTTATGAAAGAGTTTCATCAGGATGGTGGTAATAATGGTTTGAACATTCTTGGAAAATTATACCTGTTACAGTTTCGATGTGATACAAGATCTGTCAAACTATTTTCATTTCCCCCCATTGTTTTTATACGTTGTACAATAGTTTAATGACACATTATCCAGTGATTATTATGTCTTTCTGATGAGGGAAAATCAAGAAAGTTAACTGAAATAGGAAAAAGCTGTAAATGATACCGACTTCCTCGTTTCTAATTAGTCTCATCTTGAAGTGCCCCATAGCTCTGCTTATAGTTATGAATCATAATTTCACCGAAAGCCAGCCTCAAAAGCATTGGACAAACATACTACATCCTGTTTTTCTGCTCACTCGAAAACCTCTCTGAGAAAAAAATTATGTCACGTATTGTCTGCCATCAGCTCTACCTGAAAATCTTCGTTTAATGTAGATAATTAATATTTATATATAAACACATAATACATATGTGTATATAAATTAATAATCAATGTAGATGTCTTAAGAGATATTGTGTAAAATATCAAACAATTGTTTTTCAAAAAGTTTCCTTCTACGGAAAAGAAAATGTCAGATGCCAATTGTTTCATTAATGCATTATTGTTATTTTGTATTGCACAAAACATATAAAATCATTAACTATCATTTTTCAAAATTCCCTTTTGTCTTAATTATGTTTATGAATGCTAAATAGTCATGTAGATGTCGATTGTTTCATGTTTTATGTTTTTTATTCACCTAAACGATTTGCCTACAGGTTGTGAATATCTTGAACAATCGTTAAGTTTATCATGTTCCCATCATGAATAGTCAGAATCTGTTTGTTTAATTTTGTTACTCTCTTCAGCTCACATTCTAGATCTAATTAATTATTCGTCCTGGACAATGCACATGTCAGACAATGGACATGAATTATGTTAATCAGATCAAATGAATTGAATTGAATTCTTGCCAATTCCTGATTTTCTGTTATCCATTCACTTTACAAACATATTTCTAGACCGTGATAGTTTTAGTGAAATAAAGAGAGAATAGACACGAGTGTGTGTAGGTACACGGGTGTTATCAAACTAGTATAATAGTTCTCTGAAGTGAAGTAAATATATCACAAGCTAAGTTTTATAGACATAGCTCATTCACAAATAATTGTTGCGTTTTACGAATAATCTTGGGATCTCTAGATCGGCATTGTAGTTCCGACCCCCCCCCCCCCCCCAACAAAAACTGTTAAGCCCCTATAAACCATATTTCATTTAACTATAGTTAGTTTATTTGTTGTTGATGCAAAGATATTCTGCAGTTTTTGGTTTAGGTTGTTGTTTGTTTATTTGAATGTTATTTTTTATGTGTGTGTGGGGGGGGGGTCTGTGTACCTGTGGTAACTTTGTCTTATTGTTTAAGTAGCAGGATATTTAACTATATAAACAAGACCAAACATTACCTGTATTTTATTACAAAATAAAATCGGGTAATACAGTTAGCTAGGTCATCTGCATTCTGCACAGTAATTGCTTTTAATTAGGTTACAGTGAAGTCTAAGCTTAATTGTGATTAATAATAATAATAATAATTACAGTGCTTATATAGCGCCTAACACTTACTTTGTCAGAAGTCTCTAAGCGCTCTACAATAATGCAGCATAATTACCCTGGCTTTAGCAGTGCAGCTGTTACGCGCGCTGCGTTTCAAGGAATAAATTCCTACCAGGTACCCATTTACTTCACCTGGCTCATTATTTAAGGCTTCAAAAAATGACTAACTCATCGACCTTTTAATGTTTAAATGACATTCAGTAGTATCAACATTGTCTAACTATACAATAGAATGAAACAATTCACAATGATATAAATCCCATTGTGCCCATTGTCTTAAACGTCTGTGTGACGTCACAGTAGAGTCATCATTACATCATATCCTATGGCATCAATATTTGAGCTGTATAATCCTC